GCCACTCTGCACTGCTAAATGATGCAAAGCAGCAGCAACATACTAGCTGGTCTGTCCTAATCTTAAAACTCTAGAAGTAACATAGTCTGGTAACTAGAACTGCTACTAATTTTGTAAGTAATTACAGTATGTCACTGAAAGCAGAACTGGTTCCTGTGGTGGTATCTCTCCCCACACACACCAGATTTTATCTGGGTGAGAAGCTCTCTGATCAAAGCCGAAAGTCTGCATTTTTAATAAGCCTCTTAGAAGTGGGGCTGATCTACCTGTATGACTGAAACAATCTAATTAAATACCTTCTTTCCCTGTAGTATACTAATCAAGCTAAAGATTAAAAAAAGCTGGCTTGTTGGGGTATTTTTGCAATAGACTTTTAGCCTTGAAAATGGCATTTTCAAGATAATGCTCTGGGTGAGTTCAACTAGGATTTATACATTTCTCTTTAGTTTCCTTGGAAAAAAAAAATGACACGTTAGCAACTGTAATTGAAACAAAAAGGCAACAAACTACTGATGTAAAAAAAAGAGGGATCAAATAAGTACATCTTCACCCTTTTAGAACAGGCGTTTTAAACCTCTGCAAGTTTCTTGTTTAGATTCATTCCAACCCACACCACAAAAGCAGAAAGCGGGCAGGGGGGATACTGACGAGCGGACAAACTGCAGACCCACTGGTCTGTATCCGAGAGGAGGTGGGATGGAGGGGGAAGCTCGGCGTAACCCCAGCACCTAAAACAACTTTGTTTTCCCCAGGGAGGAGCCTTCTATTTCCTAGAGCATGTGGCCGCCGACCACTCCAGCTGGCAGTACTTTTGGCAGCAGGTCTTATACCCGACTTGGAAACTCGTCTTTGACGGATGCTGCCTAACGAGAGAGACATGGAAAAATCTCGAAGCGGCCAACTTCTCGGAGCTGAACCTGAAGCATTTCCGCGTGGAGCTGCCCTGGATGCCCATCCAGCCCCACGTCCTCGGCTACGCCGTGAAGTAACCCCCCAGGGAAACCCCTTCACAGCATCACCCAAATAACACGACACAGGCTAATCCAGACGTCTGAATCTAGCTAACACGGGGAAGGTTTGATTATGTTTCTGATTCAAGCACAGAGCGAGAGGAGACGGGCTTTTTCCTGAGCACCTTTGAAGCTTTTCGCTGCTGACGAGGCCTCGCCAGGCCCAGCGCAGCCCACGGCGGGAGTTGGCTGCAGGATTACACAGAAAAAAATAAAATATTACCTCAAGAGAACGTCTGCCTGTGTCTGGTGAGATCGGGGAAAGGTTCCTTCAGGTGTTTCTCCAGCTCAGGGAGCCGCCGGCGCTGGGCTCACCCTGTCCCCACGTTCCCTCA